ATTAGCCGGGCATGGTGGCTCATGCCTGTAGTCCCAGCTACTCGGGAGGCTGAGGCAGAAGGATCGCTGGAGCCCAGGAGTTTGAGGTTGCTTCAGTTACTCAGTTCATCTGTAGCCAACAGAATAACGGGACTCTAGGTTGGGCAACAGGGTGAGACTCAAAAAAAAAAAAAAAAAAAATTTCATCTGGCCAGGCGTGGTGGCTCATGCCTGTAATCCTAGCTCTCTGGGAAGCCAGGGCAGGCGGATTAGTTGAGGTTAGGAGTTCAAAACTAGCCTGGGCAAGGGTGAGACCCTGTCTTTACTAAAAATAGAAAGAAATTAGCCGAACAACTAAAAATATATAGAAAAAATTAGCTGGACATAGTGGCACATGCTTATAGTCCCAGGTACTCAGGAGGCTGAGGCAGAAGGATTGCTCAAGCTCAGGAGTTTGAGGTTGCCGTGAGCCAGCCTAACACCATGGCACTGTAGCCCAGGCAACAGAGCAAGACCATCTCAAAAATTTTTTTCTCCTAGTCAATCTTCACATAAGATTTTCTTTTATGTTTTCCTTTAAGAAATTTGATCATGTTATGTGTTACATTTAGGTATATGGTCCATTTTGAGTTAATTTTTATATATGATGTAAGATATGGATCTATGTTTATTTTTTTGTACATTGTATCCAATTATTTCAGGACTGTATTTTAGAAAGGCTATCCTTCCTTCACCCTTCACTGCATTGCCTTGACAACTTTGTTAAAAATCAGTTATGCATATACTATATATGAGGGTTTACTTTTGGACTCTTAGACCTTTTTGTCTATCTTATATCACTATCCTGCTGCTTTGATTACTATTGCTTTTTTTTTTTTAATAAGTTCTGACTTTATTGAAACTGTTAGAGAAGACACAATTCAAATAAGAACCATTGTTACGGTTGTTTTTTTTTTTTTTTTAGACAGAGTCTTGCTCTGTTGCCCGGGCTAGAGTGCCATGGCATCAGACTAGCTCACAGCAACCTCCAACTCAAGTGATCCTCCTGCCTCAGCGTCCCAAGTAGCCTCCCTTTCCATCTGTATAAATTTGACTATTCTAGGTACCTCATAGGAGTGGAATCATGCACTATTTGTCTTTTTGTGACTGGTTTATTTTACTTAGCATATAATATCTTCAAGGTTTATCCATGTTGTATCATGTGTCAGGATATCATTCCTTTTTAAAGCTGAAGAATATTTCATTATATGTAAATACTACGTTTTGTTGATCCTTTAGGTTGTTTCCATCTTATGGATATTGTGAACAAAGTGGTTGAGAACATAGTTGTACAGATATTCGTTCAAGTTCTTGCTTTCAGTTCTTTTGAGTACATACCCAGAAGTGGAATTCTCTTTTTAGTTTTTTTGTGGAATTGCTGTAATGTTTTCCATAGTGGCTGTATTACTTGACATTCCTACCAGCAACACAGGGGTTCCGAATACTCTGCATCCTCCCAGTACTTATTTTCTGTTTTGTTTTGTTTTTAAATAATAGCCAGCCTAATGTGTGAGAAGTGATATCTCATTTTTGGTTTTGATTTGCATTTCCCTAATGACTGATGATGGTGAGCTTCTTTTCATGTGATTATTCACCATTTGTATATCTTCTTTGGAGATATGTCTAAGTCTTTTGCCTATTTTTTAGTTGTTTCCTTTTTTGTTGTTGAATTATAGGAATTCTTTGTATGTTCTGGATATTAGTCCATTGTAAGATACATGATTTGCAAACATTTTCTCCTGTTCTATGTGATGTCTTTTCACTCTGTCGATAGTGTCATTTGATATACAAAAAATTTTAATTTCGATGTAGTCCAGTTTATCTACCCTTTTTGTTACTGCCTGTGCTTTTAGTGTCATATCTAAGAAATCAGTCTTTTTTTTGTTGTTGTTTCTTTCCCCCTCAATCTTTCTTACAGTCTTTGATTCGTTTTGAGTTAGTTTTTGTATGCGGAGTAAGGTAGTGGTCCAGCTTTCTTATTTTGTGTGTAGATAATCCAGTTTCCCAACATTTATTGATATTTTAACTTTTAACCTGTGTATGCCTTTATATTTAAATTGGGTTTCTTGTAGACAGTATGTGTTTGACTCTTGCTATTTTATGCATCATTTCTACATTATTAGAGCATACAACATTTACATATTTTTCTTGTATTTCATTTTTATGTTTTTGTGTTAGATCTAAAATTAAAAAAAATTCATGTTCAGTTCTTTTGCTAAAGTTAGTATAATCATTTCTTGGCTGAATGATGCTCATTCTTTATTAGATTTGTCGAGAAGGGCTTGTGAGTATAGTACTTCCTGAGTTCTTGAATGTTTGACACTTTTTATATAGTCTTGTTTGTTTGTTTGTTGTCTTACTCTGTTGCCCCTGCGAGAGTGCAGTTTATCATCATAGCTCACTGTAACCTCAAACTCCTGGGTTCAAGCAATCCTCCTGCCTCAGTCTTCCAAGTAGCTGGGACTACAGGTGCACCTAATTTTTCTATTTTTAGTAGAGATCGGTCTTGCTCTTGCTCAGGCTGGTCTCTCCTTGACCACTGCGTCCAGCCTATTAATGTTTTTTTTTTTTTTTTTTGAGACAGAGTCTCACTTTGTTGCCCAGGCTTAGAGTAAGTGCCGTGGCGTCAGCCTCGCTCACAGCAACCTCAAACTCCTGGGCTCAAGTGATCCTCCTGCCTCAGCCTCCCAAGTAGCTGGGACTACAGGCATGCGCCACCATGCCCGGCTAATTTTTTCTATATATATTAGTTGGCCAATTAATTTCTTTCTATTTATTGTAGAGATGGGGTCTCACTCTTGCTCAGGCTGGTTTTGAACTCCTGACCTCGAGCGATCTGCCCGCCTCAGCCTCCCAGAGAGCTAGGATTATAGGCGTGAGCCACCACGCCTGGCCCTATTAATTGTTTTTAAACCTTGAATCAAGCATCTCTGATCTTGGGTGATGCTTACTGGTATTTTGGAGGTAGATTGGTTTTTACATGCCTGTGTATGTGACAGATAATAATGTCAGTATAGTATACATTTTTATTTGTAGTTTTTATTGGCTCTAGATTTTACATGTTTTCTTTTTAGTGCTAAAAGAGATCTTCTGATGTTTTATGTACGCATTTATAACAATCACTGATTCTTCAGAGGCCTCTTATTAGCTACAGAGAAGGTAGGAGATAAAGAAATTACTACTAATGGCAGCCACCCTGATCATATTTCTTGTTTTGCAACAGGAACCAAAGGAGGAGAATGGATTGCAGAAAGCGAAGACAAAACAATCCAATAGAGCAAAGTGTTTGGCTAAAAGAAAAATTGCACGTATGTTTTCATTTTTGTTGAGAATGGTTTTGAAATTCTAACAGTCAACGTTTTCTTCATTAGGAGAAGAGAGCTCTCTGAATAAGGATGGATGTGTTTCCTGTTTATACTGGATTTCATTAAAATTTTTAGGAGTGGCTTTGAGAGCTACTTACAGCTTTTTTTTTTTTGCTTTTTTTTTGAGACAGAGTGTCACTTTGTTTCCCAGCCTAGAGTGAGTGCCCTGGCGTCAGCCTAGCTCACAGCAACCTCAAACTCCTGGGCACAAGCAATCCTGCTGCCTCAGCTTCCCGAGGAGCTGGGACTACAGGCATGTGTCACCATGCCCGGCTCATTTTTTCTGTATATATTAGTTGACCAATTAATTTCTTTCTGTTTTTATAGTAGAGACGGGGTCTCGCTCTTGCTCAGGCTTGTTTCTAACTCATGACCTTGAGCAATCTGCCTGCCTCGGCCTCCCAGAGTGCTAGGATTACAGGTGTGAGCCACTGCACCCGGCCCATAATTTAGCTCTTTGTTGGTAAATTATTGCATAATGTCCAGAGATAGCTGTCTCTATGATCATATCTATTTAATGTATTCAAATTACCATCAGTCTTGAGAATTATAGGTAGTAGTTACTTTCTGAAATGCAATAATCCTTAATCAATGGTTAAGTTTTTGTGACCATTGGTAGGCTGTTGATATAGTTGTCTATTTGGTTATTCTGGATCTTTTTTTTTTTTTTTTACAGACAGAGTCTCACTCTGTTGCCCGGGCTAGAGTGTCATGGCATCAGATTAGCTCACAGCAACCTCAAGCTTAAGTGATCCTCCTGCCTCAGCCTCCCGAGTAGCTGGGAGGCATGCACCACCACACCTGGCTAATTTCTTCTATATTTAGTTTTCTGGCTAATTTCTTTCTATTTTTAGGAGAGACGGGGTCTTACTCTTTTCTGAGGCTGGTGTTGAACTCCTGACCTCAAGGTATTCTTCCACCTTGGCCTCCAGAGTGTTAGGATTACAGGTGTGAGCCACCTTATTCTGGATCTATATAATCAAAGTGAGTTTTACTTTTTTATTTAGTTGGATCATGCTTTTTTTAGCCAGTGTGACAATCTGACTTTTATTTTATTTTTTGTATTTGGCAATTTTATTTTAGGCTGCAAAAACAAGCAAACAAACAACCAGTAACAAAAAACTTGAAATAGGCTTGACAAAAGATGTAAATTCATCCTTTCCAGGGAAGTAGAAGGCAGACCCTACCACAAAAAAAAGATACTTAGTTAATGGAGGTTAAATTTAAAAGTACAGTTAAATAATATCAGGCTAACTTTTGGAAAGCCTAGGTTTTATTCACCTCCCTGTGGTTCCAATAACTGTATTATGAGTTAAGTTTCTTTATAGTTAACTGTGTCACCTAAAATATAAAAATCCAGTAACAACCTAACAATTATTGCATATGGTGTTACTGGAAATTCTTAACCATATAGTTGATTCACCAAAATTATTTTTTAATGATGAATTGTCTTAGTTTATGTCACTGCATTTCTATAACAAAGTAATGAAAGGCACAGCCAATGCAAGCAGACTTAACCCCATTCAACTAACAGCTGAAGAAATACTTTGGTTCTTTGAGGAAAAAATTAGGGGGAAAAACGTGTTTCATTTAACAGTTATTAATTTTTTGGGGGGATAACAGTTATTAATTTTAATAGCTGTACTCCAATAGCTACATGATGAAAATATTCCAGAAGAACCAAACTATGTAGCAATGAATGAACATGCGTGAAATAATTTGTGCCTTCAACATACCTGGCAGAAAAACTATAGTTAAAATGCTAGGTAGAACAAATTGGTCTTTAAATATCAGTTCCTGTTCTTTAAAAAAAAATTACTGAGTCTACCAAGAAAATACAAAAACATAAGGCTGTAAGTAAATAATAGTTGTATTTAGGCTATTACAGTGCAGATTATCCTCAAGGCCACATACATCCTGCTTCACTGCTGCTTGTACTCTGCTGGGTTTTGATCCTTCTTTGGGTCATAGTCTGGATCATTTTCCTCATCTCCTCCTTCCCCTTCCTCATCTGCTTCCTCACCTTCTTTATCATAATCATCGTCGTCATCTTCATTTGCTTCTCCAGTGAAGTATAACACTGATCTTGGGATTATACAAAACTCATTGGCTGGCTGGCATCTGAAAACTTCACTTTAATATGTTTCAGGTGCTTCAGAATAGGTTCATCATGTTCCTGAACCATATCACTGAGCAAGTCAACATTCTTAAAAACAGTCAACCAAAATTCAGAAATTCCTTTGGGATCTTCTTTTTCTTCATCCTTTTTCTCCTCTTCAATCTTGGCCTTTTCTTCTAGCTCCTCAGAAATTTCGTCGTCTTCATCTGGTTTCCATTCACATTCTTCGTCCATAGGTTCATAAATTGCATTAATAATCTCAAATCGCTTGTCAAATAAAGGCTGATAAAGAGCAGTATACTTCCTTTCAAGATCATGAACTTCCTCATAGAATTTGGCTTCTATCTGTGCACATTTAACTTGAAGGTTTTTGAGAGCATTCACTTGTCTTTTAACTACCCTAGGCAAGCTTTCAGTGTATCCTGTTGGTGTTTCTACCAGACCATCAAGTCTTTCTTGAGGGGCTGTAAGAATCTGAGGATTTTGCATCATCTGAACAGTCAGCTGACGCGCTTTGATTTTTGTTTCTTCATCAGTTTCTTTTCTTCTACTTCTTCAACATCCAAATCTTGATCAAGTTCACACTGTTTTTTGTTGTCAATGTCTGCCATGTTAAGATCTCCAAATACTGGCGGCTAGTATGTGGAGCCAGGCGGCCGGAGCTGCGCAGGCAGTGACTCAGGGCAGCAGCCCAGCGGGAGGAGCAGGAGGCGGCGCCTCGAGCACATGGCGCTAAAAAAGTGACAATCTGACTTTTAATTGGTGTGTTTAAACCATTTACATTTAATGTAATTATTGATTTATTTGGATTAAAATTTAACATTCTGGATGATGTTTATTTCAGTTTTTTGTTTCTTTCTGTACATTTTTATATTGAGTATTTATGATTTTATTTTATTTTTCATATTCATAAATATTTTATACTTGTGTCTTTTAAAAAATGTTTAATGATTGCCCTAGGGCTTATAAGTACACATATTTAGTCACATTTACTTTCAGATAATGTTATATAGTTTCATGTGTAGTGTAAACACTATGCAAAGGTATTTGCCCAATTCCCTTTTACCCTTCTTTGTATTTTTTTGTCATCTGTTTACCTTTTACATATATTATATACACATAATACATTGATACTATTTTTGCTTTAGATATTTGATTATCTTTTAGAGCAATGAAAATAAAAAATTAAGAATTTTGTGTTTTTTTATTTGAGGCATTTGAAGCACTCTTTTTCTTTGTGTATATAGACCAGAGTTTCTGTTCAGTATTAAATTCTTTCTGCCAGAAGAACTTCTTTGAACTGTTTTTGTAATATAGCAGTGAATTCTCTATTTTTGTTTGAGAAAGCATTTCTCCATTTTTGGGTATAATTCATGGAGATATAATTCACATACCACCCAATTTACTTATTGAAAGCGTACAGTGGGCCGGGCGCTGGTGGTTCACACCTATAATCCTAGCATTCTTGGGAGGCTGAGGCGGGCGGATTGCTCGAGGTCAGGAGTTCAAAACCAGCTTCAGCAAGAGTGAGACCCCATCTCTACTATAAATAGAAAGAAATTAATTGGCCAACTAATATATATAGAAAAATTTAGCCAGGCATGGTAGCACATGCCTGTAGTCCCAGCTACTCGAGAGGCTGAGGCAGGAGGATTCCTTGAGCCCAGGAGTTTGAGGTTGCTGTGAGCTAGGCTGACGCCAGGGCACTTACTCTAGCCTGGGCAACAGAGTGAGACTTTGTCTCAAAAAAAAAAAAAATCATACAGTGGCTTTTAGTACATTAACACAGTATTGTGCAACTGTCAACAAAGTCTAATTCTAGAACATTTTTATCACCCTAGAAAGGAACCTCATATCTTTTTTTTTTTTTCAAGAGAAAGTCTTGCTCTGTCACCCAGGCTAGAGTACAGTGGTGTCATCATAGCTCACAGCAACCTCAAACTCCTGGGCTCAAGCGATCCTCCTGCCTCAGCCTCCTGAGTAGCTGGGACTACAGGCATGCACCACCATGCCTGGCTAATTTTTTTTTCTATATATATTAGTTGGCCAATTAATTTCTTTCTATTTATAGTAGAGACGGGGTCTCGCTCTTGCTCAGGCTGGTTTTGAACTCCTGACCTCGAGCAATCCGCCCTCCTCGGCCTCCCAGAGTGCTAGGATTACAGGCGTGAGCCACTGCACCCGGCCTAGATTTCTTATTTCTTATTACTTAGTTATAGGAGTTTTTTATTCTGGATACAAGTCCTTTGTCAGATTGTATGTGTTGTGAATATGTTCTCCCATTTGTGGCTGGCTTGCCTTTTCATTTTCCTTTTTTTTTCGTTGTTTGAGACATAGAGTCTCTTGCCTAGGCTAGAGTGCCGTGGCATCAGCCTAGCTCACAGCAACTTCAAACTCCTGGGCTCAAGCGATCTTTCTGCTTCAGCCTCCCAAATAGCTTAGGACTACAGGCATGTGCCACCACACCCGGCTAATTTTTTCTAGTTTTAGTTGTTTGGCTAATTTCTTTCTATTTACAGTAGAGACAGGGTCTCACTCTTGCTCAGGCTGGTCTTGAACTCCTGAGCTCAAGCATTTCTCCCACCTTGGCCTCCCAAAGTGCTAGGATTACAGGCGTGAGCCACTGGGCCCGGCCCTGTCCATTATTTTTAAGATTAGATTTCCTATTTCTTATTACTTAATTATAGGAGTTCTTTATTCTGGATACAAGTCATTTGTCAGATTGTATGTATTGTGAATATGTTCTCCCATCTGTGGCTGGCTTGCCTTTTCATTTTCTTAAACAGTGTGTTCCAGAGAACAGGAGTTTTAAACTTTAATGAGGTCCATTTTTTTCCCTGTTTGATGGTTTTTTTTTCTTTTCGTGTCCTAAGAAATATTTGACTACCCCAAGGTTACAAAGATTTTCACCTGTTTTCTAGAATTTTTATAGTTTTAGCTTTTACATTTAGATGTTTGTATATAGTGTGAGGTAAGGGCTAAGGTTTTTTTTTTGAGACAGAGTCTCACTCTCTTGAGTGCCGTGGTGTCAGCCTAGCTCACAGCAACCTCAGACTCCTGGGCTCAAGCAATCCTTCTGCCTCAGCCTCCCAAGTAGCTGAGACTACGCATGCGCCACCATGCCTGGCTCATTTTTTCTATGTAGTTTTGGTTGGCCAATTAATTTCTTTCTACTTTTAGTAGAGTCGGGGTCTCGCTCTTGCTCAGGCTAGTTTTGAACTCCTGACCTTGAGCTATCCGCTGGCCTTGGCCTTCCAGAGTGCTAGGATTGCAGGCGTGAGCCACTGGGCCCGGCCTAAGGTTCTTTTTTAAATATGGATATTCAATCATTCTTGTACCTTTTGTTGGAAAGACTGTCCTTGCCTTGTTGTAAATCAGTTGAATATCAATGTGTGGATCTATTTCTGAATTTTGTGTTCTGTTTCATTTATTATTATTATTATTTTTTTTTTTTGAGACAGAGTCTCGCTTTGTTGCCCAGGCTAGTGTGAGTGCCGTGGCGTCAGCCTCGCTCACAGCAACCTCAAACTCTTGGGCTCAAGCGATCCTCCTGCCTCAGCCTCCCAAGTAGCTGGGACTACAGGCATGCGCCACCATGCCCGGCTAGTTTTTTCTATATATATTAGTTGGCCAATTAATTTCTTTCTATTTATAGTAGAGACGGGGTCTCGCTCTTGCTCAGGCTGGTTTTGAACTCCTGACCTCGAGCAATCCGCCCGCCTCGGCCTCCCAGAGTGCTAGGATTACAGGCGTGAGCCACCGCGCCCGGCCAAGACTCTTATTTTCTTTATGTATAAAACACAGATATACAATCAATACATAAATAGGAGATATAACATATCTGTGGTATTAAAATATCATGCAGAAGGCAGTGGTGAGGGGGGGAAAAAGTCCAAAAGAGCCCCTTAGGGTGATTACCAAAAAAAAAAGTTTGAAACACTGATGTAGGTGAAACAACAAAAAAAATCACTGTAAGACACAAATTATGAAAATTGATACAAGAACAAACTGAAAACCTGACTAACTTTATATCTACTAAAGACATTGAATTTATAATTTAAAATGTTTCTATAAAGAAAATCCTAACCCCATGACACCCATCACTGGTGAATTCTATTAAAGAATAAGGAACCAAGAAATACCCAACTAATTCAGAAAATAAGAAGTCAATTCTCCCCCAAACTGATTTATAAATTTAGCACAATCCCAATCAGAATCAAGTTGATTCTAAAATTTATATAGGAATGCAAAGAACCCAGATTAACCAAAACAATTTTAAAAATAAAGTTGGACTTGAAGACATTATAAACATACAGTAACCAAGAAAGGGTGGCAATGGCATAATGATAAACATAATGATAAAGCCTGGGCAACAAAGTGAGACTCTGTCTCAAAAAAAAAAAAAACAAAACCAAAAAAACTCAATTCTTGTCCCCTTGGGGATGATATGACCCATGTTGAGAATGCATGATCCAAATTGTCAGATTTATTGGTATAAAATCATTTGTGGTATTCCCTTATGATCCTTTTAATGACTGTAGAATCTGTCGTGTTGTTTCCTATTTTGCTCCTGATACTGTTAATCTGTGTTTTTTCCCTCTTGACCAGTCTAGTGAGAGGTTTGTGCATTTTATCGACCTTTTCATAAAACCAATTTAAAAATGTTTTCTCTATTATTGTATGCCCATCTTTTATTTCATTGATTTCTGCTATTTATATTTCTTTTTCCTTTGGGTTAATTTTACTCTTTATATTCTAGTTTCTTAAGGTGGGAAGCATGACTTACTGATTTTAAACTTTCATTTTTTCTAATATCATGTAAAGCTTTACATTTTCTTATTAATGCTTTAGTTGCATCCCATAAATTTTGATATGTTTTCATTTTCATTAAGGTCATTTCAGATTCACTTGGGTGCCTTTTTATGTTTGGATTCAATTTTTAGGGATCCCATATTCATGTTGATTTCATGCTATTTAAAAAAATGTTTATTAAAAAACCATTTATTTGGTGTCGGGCAGGTGGGAGAGGGGAGGAGGGGATGGGTATATACATACATAATGAGTGTACGATGCGCACCACCTTAGGACGGCTCTGACTCGGGGGAGGGGAGGCGGCTCTGACTCGGGGGAGGGGAGGCAAGGGCAATATATGTAACCTTAACAACATTTGTACCCCCATAATATGCTGAAATAAAAAAGAAATTTTTAAATGTTTAACATTTACATGAGTCCATAAGTCAAAGCTAAACAACCAGGTATAGTCAAAGAAGTATCATTTCCTACTGTGTCTCTTCCACCTTGTTTTCAACCACCTGTAGATAACTACTTGCATAGTTTCTGGCTTAGCTCTCTTGTGTGACATTGCACAAAGAAATATGTATATGTATATTTTCTTATTTCTTTTTTTATACACAGAAAGCATGCTATACATACACTCCTATGTACTTTGTTTTTTGCTTAATAGATCCTTGAAATCGCTGTATTCCCAGTCCATAGGGATATTCCTCCTCCTCCTTTTTTTTTTTTAATGGCTATATGCATGTGAACCACAGTTTATAATCATTAAGTAGATTCCAGGGTTTTACAAATTGAAACATTGCTGTGGTAAAAA